GGAGCATGTTTAACAAGGTCGAGGGGTGCTGATGGGTTATGTCAACTTTCAATGTCAGGGCAGCTTGTTGGGTCTTACCCTGATATTTTACCTTGAACGTAAGCACTGGATGTTGCTGCCCCCCCCACCACAGGACGAGGATACCACCAACTACGATGCGTTCAAGGAGTGGGTCGGCGAGGTGCCAAGAGCGGCTAAGGGCGCAGCTGGCAAGCGCAGGCGGGGTGGCGGTGATGACGACGACCTGGGTGCGAGGTCGGGGTGCAAGGTTGGAAATAAACGGCAGAAGGGGAACAAGGGCGCAGGCCGGGGCAGGGGTGCAAGCAAGGGGACCACCAGAGGTGCGGGGAAGGGCGGCGCAGGCAAGGGAGGGCGGAGGGGGCGGACAGAGGAGGGTAGCTCGGAGGGTGGGTCGGATGCTGGTGAGGAAGAGGTCCTAGCCGCTGGCGCTGGGGAGGAGTCCAGCTCGGAGGACCCGGGCAAATATAGCAAAGCTAGCAGCAGCAGCAGTGGCAGTGGCAGCAGCGACAGTGGTGGAAGTGAGCAGTAACATGGCAGCAGTGATGAGCGCTTGGGGGTGCACACACCAGGTCGGCCCCAGGCAGGATGGGACATACCAATCCCAATAGGTGCCGGTACATGTCATGCATCGGGGGTTTCATCCGTAGGAGTAGGCACGAACTCTGCAAGTGGTGGTGAGACTCCTTGGCGAGCACTTGCTGGTGGTGAGACTCCTTGGTGATCCGGAACCGCCGCTGGCACGCGTGGTGGTCGAGGGCGTGGACACAGCAGCGGCAGGAGAACTGGGCGCGGGACAGGGCGCGTGGACAGCAACACAGGCGGTGGAGCCGAGGAGGCATTGGTGTATGGAGAGAACGATGCAATTCAGGTGAGGAGTGTTTGCTCGTTTCCAGACTGCTTGCAACCAGGGCTGCCTTGTAACCCTTTTGGAACCTGGGGAGCATGTTTAACAAGGTCGAGGGGTGCTGATGGGTTATGTCAACTTTCAATGTCAGGGCAGCTTGTTGGGTCTTACCCTGATATTTTACCTTGAACGTAAGCACTGGATGTTGCTGCCCCCCCCACCACAGGACGAGGATACCACCAACTACGATGCGTTCAAGGAGTGGGTCGGCGAGGTGCCAAGAGCGGCTAAGGGCGCAGCTGGCAAGTGCAGGCGGGGTGGCGGGTG